ATAATATTTAATTTAAGTTCAAATAACCATAAATAATGTATAAATACATAGAGAATGTATATTTTAATGGTGTATATGAAAAAAATATATTACAATTAATATAATATGATGCATAAATATCATACAATTTTATTAATAATGTATCAATTAAGAGTGCAAAATGCAAAACATATTTTCTTATTATATTTTAATTATTATATCAATTATTTTTTATTTTACTATTTTTACTTTTTTACATTAACAAAGAGGTCAACCAAATATTAAATTCTCTATGTAAATTAAAATATTTATTAATAATTTATAAAATGTATAATCTCAACTTAAAATATATCCATTAAAATTTCTAAGATACATATCATATCCAAATTCATAATTTTTAACTTAAAAAATGATTATTCCATTATTATATTTTTATTCCTATAATTTTCTAATTAAAAATCTTTTTTTGGTATAAATGTAGATTAGTAGATTTGATAGATTCAATTTAAGATTATATTCTTGAATATTTTGTAAACAATTTTTTTTTTTAATTTTCTAAATAATAAATATGATTTTATGTAATGTAAATATATTATATATATCATGTGCAATTTATAAATTTTAAGTAATAAAATAATTATTCTCTTATTAATATTATATTTTAATAAATTATTTGATATTCAAATAATATTTTGATATAAATGTAGATTTGATATTATTTATTTCTATTATTTTATAAAATACTGATTTTAAATATTAATTTTTTAATTTTTAGTTGGAGTTAACTGTAATAGATATTATTTATTTGAATTGTAAGTAATAAAGAAATAAAAGTTGTATTCATTTACTCATAAACACAAAAGATGGAGCGGCGTAGTGGTTTACAGGCGTGAATGTTAAGCTCTTCCTTAGCTTTTATGCGCATGTGCATTTGTGTCTCGCAGGTAGCGTATTATTCTATATTGGTCTGTATCGCACTGTATTCGTATTGGTCCGATACACATTCCAATCATAGCATATCCCGTGCCAGACACTAACGATACCAATACGACCAATAACAAATCTTTTCTTTTTTCTTCCCCTTTTTTGAACGTTTTTCCATTTTTGTTATGGTTAGCATTCTCTTTTGTTGAAGGCAATGGGTTCCTCCCCACCCCCTCCTTCCCGAAGAACCTGAATTTGAAGACCTTGACACATTCGTTTGCCTTCTTTCTTTCTTTTGCATAATTACAGATGCTTTAGTGGTAAAGGATGGAAACTTTCCTTCACTGCAGGTGTTTGTTTTCATTAATTTCCAACGTCAAGATCCTGAGACTACATATGTTTCACTTGCATCCCTATTGTCTTCTATCTTTTGTATAGCAATAGATGTTTTACTTTAGTGGTAAAGGTTGGAAGCTTTCTTTCACTGCAGGCATTTACTTTAGTGGTGAAGGTTGTATAGCAATAGATGTTGCACTAACAATCCTATCTAGTAAAGGAGTGCTGTTCGGACCTATTATATTTGCTTCAAACATTTTTGTGGTGTTAGTTGATCAGTATGTTGTAAGCAAAGATGGCATGCCACTACATATTGTTGATCTGTTCTCTCATTTTTGGATAAAGTAAGAACTTGGATTTGCTGATTTTCGAACTTTAGGCTCAATTTGGAAGCAGTACAAATGCAAATATGTACAGCGTAAATACATACAAAATAATACAAAATATAAGGTTTTGCACTCTACATATTTGCATTTGTACTCCTTCCAAACTCAGCCTTAGAGTTTAAATTGTGCATTGGATTTTGTCATGAATTTGTTGACATCCAAGTGCATTGCAGAAATCTCAGAAACCTTCAAGCTATTTCTGTCAAATCACACCATGTTAACAATTCAATAGGCTCCCTGTCATAAGATGTTGAATATAATGTCCATGAAAAGTTGTCCTCAGTTGAGGTCCCATAAGCTTCTTTTGTTTATTCTCCAACATTCTGCTATTCAAAGGCCATGTAACAAGGAAATAATATGCATATTGGTGTTTGACATGGTGACTTCTTAAATTTGAGCTTCTGATACATTGACATGACATAGGTCTGAAATTACCAAAATTCAGAAACTGTTATGCCATTACAAATGGTCCAGTGGTTGCAAGCTCTCTACTCAATTTCATTAATTCGACTGGGGTTCTGGTATTATCCACCTTTCAATTTGATCAACTCAACTCAGCTAAGCCTTATTCCAACTATTTGGGTTGGTTACTGTCTACACTGATCCTTCTTTTCCATTCCACTACTCTAATGCCATGTCACAGTGAATGCTTAGTATGAGCTTGAAAAACCTAGGTTGGAATTGTAAGCTATAAATATTAGATCACTTGGGCACTTTTGGTGGAATTATGTATTGTCAAAAGTAGACAAGATTTTCTGGTAATTGGCCTCAGGCTCAGGCTCTGCATTCCCTATAGAGAAGACCCTAGGATTTCATCAACTCTCTAAGGAGTTATTTGATAATGGCTGAAGTTAATGTTTTATTGCTTTCTCTTTTAGTGAATGGAATATTGGGTTCTGAGCTCCTTATTCCTTAATGGCTGGATCTCGTGTTGGGTTGATTACTATACCCCTAATATTTTATTATATTTCTATTTTATCTACTAAAAGTCAACACAATAAGTAATTGAACTCAGGTACTCAGCTGTTAGAAGACGATCCATAACTCATGTAGGATTAGAACTCCCCTCTTTATTAAAGGATGTGAAATACTTCTCGTATACTCATTGAGAGGTAGGTTATGTGAATTAGAGATGAACTTTTTCTTCTTATGATATCTAATCTGTTTGATTTTCCTGGCAATGGTGATATGTGACACATTTTCCCATTTTCATCCCACTGTCCTAACTTGAAACATTATGAAAGATCTTTATTTCATACTAATTTTCTGGTTTTAATTATGTTTTGTTATTATAATCCATATGGTAACTGTTTATAATCCATGATGTTTCCCCCTCTTGCTATCTGAAGTTCCTATCATTGTGATATGATACATGCATAACCTTTGATTCTCATTTTTATTTTCAGAATAGATGTTTCAATTCAGGCTATTTTCTTTGCATCCTTTGCTTGTAAATAGTACATGATAGTTTAGTTTCCGATTTCAAACTGAAACTTCAATTTCAAGTTCTGTTACAGGTTCTGATATTTTTAAAAGCAGAGAAGTGAAAGATCTGTTATTTCCTCTGGTGTTTTAGACATCTCTGTCCATTACCACACTATTCCTGTCATTGATTTAACTTGGATAACTTAGGCAGGATATGCTCTTGTGAGAAAGCTAAGAAAGCTGCCTGCGTGGACAATATACAGAAGCTAGAAGTTCAAAAAACTGGCAAACAGAGTTGGTTATTGGCCATTGTTATTTTTGTGATTACACCAATGGTAACTAATAGTTTCTTTGAAGTCTCAAGTTGTTCCAATGTATCTATGAGTAGGAATATATGTATAATTGTTTTTTTGTTTTTTTTTACATATCTGCATGGTCAGCTTGTATTTCCATGGAAAACTGGATTGAAAAGATTCAACAGCTTTGCCATTTGGGCTTCTAATTTGATTTCCTTTTCACTTGAAGAGATGGTTGGTGAGAAATATGTGTATAAAGAGAGTATCCAGATGGTTAACAATGTTGTAAGTAGCTTAATTGACTGTTTGGCAGGAGACTGTATTGTATTTGGTGCTGCAAGCATGCAAACATATCTACCCACCTGCTAGCTCAAACATCATCTACTCCCATTGAAAGTAACCCTGGGAGTAGCTGATTTCATGCTTTTAGCCCAGAGCTACTCCAATGGGAATGGCTGATGTATCCTCCACCTGGCTATGTTACCCAGATATGGCAAGGACATGGCCATACAATAAGGTGTCTGGGTCTCATAACCCACCTACCAAAATATACAATCTCTTACAGCAAACAAGCATTTTGCAATGTTTTGTTGTGTACTATGCATAGGTTATGTCTGCTTGTTCTTTAGGTGACGTGTTGGGTTATTAAACCTCCTTTCTGGTTTCTAAAACTGCTTAAACCTCCCCTGTACGATGACCTATGTTTATTTCTCCTTTCATGTCTTAGAAATCAAAACAACAATATCCCTTTCCATTATTTTAACGTTAAAGTTTATTAGACAGAAACAAAGTTATGCTTTAAACAGTATAACATTCTAATTTTGCCCATGGATGACAGTGAACATTTACCATTTAAATTTTTTTCCTGATGTTATAATTATTTTTTTATTCTCCCTTCTGTTGCTGCAGAGAGAAACATAAAACAATGAAAGGGCTATAGAAGGGCCCATGAAACAACCGTACCCTTCCGTTAGTTTGGTGTAGATGAATATGGTAAAATTACTCATATGCCCTTTGTCTTCATTAAATGGAAAGAGTAAAACTTTTGCACTTACAAAGGGTGTGATAATTTTACTATCCCTGTCTACAACAAATCAGGAAGGGGTGAGGTGGTTTTGATCTTTAGGACATAGACTCAGAGGTTGTAAAACAGGGGAGATTTAAGTAATTTACCCTTTTTTTGGGGGGAGGGGGGTGGCTTTCCCATATCCATAACCTTAGTAATCTTAGCATCTTCAGTGTGAGATGCAGAGTAAAACAGGGTATGCACAAGCTTGTAGTCGAACAGGCCTTAGGCCAGTGTTGTGTTTGGAATGAATGCTGTTTTCAGTTTTCTTGAAAACCGGTGCCATGTCAGTGCCACGTCTGAAATCTATTTTTTTTCTCAGACCATGCCTGATATTTAGTTATATGTTCTTCAGAAAAACGTTTTCTCATACCACACTTTGGAAATCAGGAGAGATGTGGTATGATAAAACCCCTTTTTTTGGTGTTTTCTCATTTTTTACTGTCGCTAACAATAGTAGGCTGATGTGGCATTAGAAAATGTATATATGGCAGAAACAAGAAACAGTTCCCAAAAAAAAAAAAAAGAAAGAAAACTTCATTTTCAAAGCAGAAAATTCTAAGACATTGGTTCCAAACATGGGCCAGGTTTGCTTATTTGATTTCGTCACCCTTGTATGTGTGGAGCATCTAACTTATTCACGCATCCCTCTCGGCCAAGATATCTTTATGCCGCCATTTAATTATAATTGAATCACCACCATTGGATGCATTAGACAAAAAAAAAAAAAAAAAAAAAAAACAAAAAGCTACAATTACTTGCTATGGGTTGAATGCTATAGAGCCGCTATCAATCTTTGTACTACATTGGAATGTCCTTGAAACTTTCAGTTGGAAAACCCTATACTATACATATGACTGTTGAGAGTAAACAGAGAAATAAGAATGCAACCCAACAGCTGAACAAGAATCTCATTCCTGAATATTATGTGACCCAGAACCTCGTTGGAGCATCTGGGTCGAAGCTGCTGCATTCTCCCTCCCTCTGATAAGCCACTGGGCATCTCTCTTAGTCCCAAAAGCATCAAGGGAAACCAAACTTGCTTTGTGACTGCATACATGCGAAATGCTTGTATCAGGGGCGAGCCCAGAAACATGGACATACCTTAGCCCATTGGTCTTAGGATCGTAGGAGAAGAAAGAATCATTGCTGGAAGCAAGTAATATCTCACCATGCCCCCAGAGGCCTACAGCCTTAAGGTGCCCATTGTTTGATTTCCCATCCGGTGCATTGATGGTGATAGTGTTTTGCCTGATCCATTGCTTGCTGACGAAATCCTTGAGCACCCAAACCTCGATATGCGTATTGAATGAAACATCTACCACGGACAAGCATCCATTCAGCTCAACAAGATCTACCAGCTCATAATTTTTCAACCCAAATCCAGGACCTGGGGTAGTGCTAAATTGCTCCTTCCCAATGTCAAAGGTGATAATTAGGTCGTCTAATTCTTCTGAAGCAAGAACAGTATTGACCTTCCAATGCAATGCCCCAAATGCATGTACAGGTCTTCCACATAATGGCTGAGGGGGGCCGCTGCTAACTTTTCTCCACAACTGGGTCCCCAAAGAGTAAACCTCAGCCCCTAAGCTGAAAGCTTGATTGTCCGGATCAAATCCTTGATAGAAAACATGGACAACTTTGTACTCCTTAGTAGATGGATCAAAGCCCAGAGCATACATGTGTCCGTAGTCTACAGGGGAGGGCGTTGTAGTCCGAGGGAGAGTTATAATGTCACCTCGAACAGGATTCAGGAGGAAAGCAAGCCCCCCGTCGGAGGAGGAGTGCGGCTGCGGAGCGAAACAAAGCAAGCCGTTGAAGGAATCCTCCAGGCTATACCTATGAGAGATCGATAGCTGAGCAATCGCATCTTTACTTGCCATCATCGTGCCTCCATTGCCGATGGCCGGATACAGATTGGTTGTGTTGGATTTGGATACATGGGCGGGACGTGTAAGAAGTAGAAGGCTAGGCCTTTCGGTGGCTCGGCTTACGTGCATATAAGCGACGCAAGGGTCGTCAACCATGCCGCACCAGGCTTTGGAGACGCACCTAAGCTGAAGAAGAGTCTTCACCGGCAATCTTGAGAAGATGTCGAAGACGAGTTCTGAAGGGAGGTCCTCCATGTTCTTCTATCAGGAGGACTCAGGAGAGGAGAGGCGATCCAGCAAAATAAAAGAAGGTACCGACTAGTACTGCCGATATATGGTTGGTGGGTTGAGACTTGAGACGTTGAGTTAGGCGGCGGAGTTGAGGATGACGACTGATGAGGGTAGTTGGCTATCTTCCGGTCTTACTCTGGGTTTGGGCTTCACGGAGAATTCAAAATTATAAACCGAGCGAATCCTTCCTACACTCGTATTCCTAGTGGTTCTCTGATTCTATCTAGTCGAGGATAATAATTGCTTGCTGGAAAAGAAACCAAGGCAAATCCACGCATGTCCTTCGTATATAACTACAAACGAAGGGCCGTGCGTGACGTTGTGTCGTTATCAATTTTTGTCAATTCCCCTATCAGAAGGAAAGTGTTTCTTTGATAGGTAATCAAAAGGGAAGTGATTGGTTTGGGATTAACAAATTAAGAGGCGTGCGGCGTACCGTCACTCGTCGGATGGAAATTGGAAACTGTTGATATTCGGATTCATTAAAAAAAGAGGAGGCCGCGTACCCAACTAATTAAATAGAAGCTTTGGGCATTGCAGTTTTCTTAAAACCATGGATCGAACGCTAATTGGTTTCAGCCTCAGGCCATTTTTGTCTGCTTTCCCCCATAAAAATAAAAGAGGGTATAATTGGGATTTGGGTTTGAGTGTGAAGTTAATTGAACTGGATTTGGTTGATTAAAAATCATATCGGATGTAGATCCTCCGCTCCGATCCAATCCAGTTAAGATACAAGTAGTCCGATGACAGTGGTGCATCTTTTCTTTATCAGTTTATCATAAAAGGATTAAAAAATTAATATATTTTATTGATTTTTTAGAAGGCCATAATCATATATATTTTTATTGATAAGTTGGTTTAAATATCATATTTTTCATCGAAGGATCATAAATCGAGGTTCTATCAAAGTTATCTTTTTTTAATTCATTTTATTAAATCCTTTCTAATTCATCGGCATTTAAGCTTTATCAATTATCACAAGGTTGGGTACAAGAATCTTGTTGGGCCATATCCATTTTGTTCAGCATTTTCGGCTTTCGGTTACATTTTCGCCATTAACGAATAAGGCTGTCAAAGTCCTGTCCTTCCTCCATTGCTCAATTCTTTGATAGTTACTGCAGCAGATCATCCGATCTCTGTTTATTGATTGATAGTCAATCTGGTGGGGTGCTCTTGGGCGGAGGTTCCTACGAAGGAAGTGGACGGAGGTAGGTAGGTAGGTAAAATAAAGGATAATTTTTTAAAAATAATCCTATGGTTTAGGAAATTGATTAATTTTACTTTACTATTGAATTTTAGATTTCAACAAACCCGAACCCAATATATGTTTGGTTCTTTTTTATGTTTATTGATGGTGCCACATAAGCACCCCGTCACCAAATGCCTCATTAATTGCATTTGTGTGTATCTAAGTTTTCAAAAACAAATTTTGGTTTTTGTGCGCCTTTTCCCGTATGAGGAATCTTTATTTTGGAACTTTTTGAAACGGGTAGGCATATTGGCATTTTGATGATGTGGTGCCTAATGACGCTTATGTATCATAAACGCCCTTATTAACATGGTGTTTGAAAGCGTGGGCACTTTTTGGGATTGATTTTCAAGAAAAAACGTCAATGCTTCCAAGACCTGTTTTTCACAAAAAAAATGCTTTTGCCACATAGGCAGTGAGCAACACTATGTTGTTTGGTAAGGTGATTTTCATCACCCTTTTTCATGTATGTACTGACAGGTAAGCACCACATAGGATACACATCAGTCAACCGTTGGGGGAAACAGTTCACTGGAGTTTCATGCATTAGAGGGGTTCTGATTTTTTAGGCATGCCTGATTTTTTAATAATCGGCTAAACCAAACAATGAGAAACATGGGCATTTGTTGAAATGCTTATGTAAATCCGTCGTGGCACCATTTTTTTGAAAAATGGTCACGATTCCAAACATCCCCTAAAAAATGTGTTTCTCGACTTTGCGGTCTGTTATGGACGCATTCCTTGGAAAGACGTACCATCGTCGCTGGCAGCAATAGGAACCTGACCCACTGCCAGATTAGATTAGATCATCTTGCTTGTTCTTATCTTATTCTATTGCTCTTATCTTATCTTGTTAATAAGTTATCAGATTAGGATTAGCTAATCTTATCCTTAGCAAGATAGAATTGGAAGTCTCCCTATTCAGCAAGGAGACTCCCTAAGATTAAGACTCTTGTAATATTCTATTTAAGGAGACACCATTATTGAATGAGGATATCGAATATTCAATCAAGAAAGAGAGTAAAGGAGAGTTAGGTGATCTCTTGAACAAATCACCATTAGGGCGCCTAGATAGGTTCATCAAGAGCAGGGAGGAATAAGGGAAAACAGAGGGTTTCCCCCATGGACCGATCCGTGACAAGATCCTACGCCCGGGCCCATAACAATTTGGTATCAGAGCCGGTCGTCATGGGAGATCTGCAGCAGCTATCATCCAGGGTCCACGAACTGGAGCATAGGCTCGTAGAAACCAGCAGGGAGGTTCGTGAGGTCAAAGACGATGTCCGGGAGCTGCAACGCTTGCTGGAATCGTATTTCTCTAACAGGGAGAGGAATTCAAAAGGGGCTGTAACCACAAACAGCCTCCGACCAGACTTGACGGAGCCGTCTGGCGAACAACAGCAGCAGCAGTAGACTCTTCTTGGTCCACAGCAGCAGCAACACCCTCAGCCACAGCAGCTAGACAACCAACAACAGCAACAACTGCAGCAGCAGAAGCAACAACATGATCAACAACAGCAACAACAACTTCTCCGAGCAGCTATTACTAGTCCTAGTATAGTTGCCCCGAAACTGGCCCCTAAGTCCTATGGGCCCTTCAAGGTTCTACGACGGATTGGCAGTGTGGCTTACCAATTGGAACTACCAGAGACCAGCCGGATTCATGATGTCCTCCACATCGCCTTGCTGAAACCATTTACGAGTGTTCCTCCGGACCAAGTCCCCTCCCTGCCACCCCTTGCAAGATGGCAAACTGATTCCCCAACCTAAAGTTGTCATCCGCTCTCGTTTCAATCAAGTTCTTGAAGTCTTGGTGAAATGGTGTAACTTACCATCGGCCGAAGCCACATGGATCCCATTGACAGAGTTCAAGCCACATATCCGGAGTTCGAGCTTGAGGACAATCTCGTAGTCCAAGAGAGGAGTAATGTTATGGACGCATTCCTTGGAAAGACGTACCATTGCCGCTGGCAGCAACAGGAACCTGACCCACCGCCAGATTAGATTAGATCATCTTGCTTGTTCTTATCTTATTCTATTGCTCTTATCTTATCTTGTTAGTAAGTTATCAGATTAGGATTAGTTTATCTTATTATCAGATTAGGATTATTTATCTTGTTATCAGGTTAGGATTAGTTTATCTTATTATCAGATTAGGATTAGGTTATCTTATCCTTAGCAAGATAGAATTGGAAGTCTTCCTATTCAGCAAGGAGACTCCCTAAGATTAGGACTCTTGTAATCTCCTATTTAAGGAAACACCATTATGGAATGAGGATATCGAATATTCAGTCAAGAAAGAGAGTAAAGGAGAGTTAGATGATCTCTTGAACAAATCACCATTAGGGCGCCTATATAGGTTCATCAAGAGCAGAGAGGAACAAGGGAAAATAGAGGGTTTCCCCCGTGGACCGACCCATAACGAAATCCTATTTGCGAGCCCATAACACGGTCACACAAATACAAAGCATTTAGTGAATAAACGTAAAGGAAACCAAACACATGAAGCGGACATGTGATTCTGGCATTGTTTGCCTACTCTGGTGAAATTACGATATGTGTATCGTTTGTGCTCGGAGGCCCTGAGCTGTTCCGTTAGCAATCTTATACCTTACTTTCCAGGCAATATGCGACGAATTCTCATCTAAAAAAGCACACCCCTTTCAACAAATATTAAAACAAATTCTAAGATGAGATTGAAGGCACTCCTCTTTCCTCTCATTTGTAGAATCTTTGCTTAGCCTTTTCACAGCAATTACCAATACATCTTTCAGAACCTTTTCCGACCAGATTATCTGATACCCATCAAACCAAAACACATGAATCAACTCCTTTAACAAACAAGAATCGATATTACCAAAAAACAAAACTGGGTGTTCTTAAATTTAAAAAAACAAACCTGAATTAAACCATTAGTAGCTTCAACGATTTCATCATAAGAAAAGCATCTCCAAGTGGGTTTCCAACTGAGACCGGCCACTAGCCACCGAGCATCCCAATTCTATTATCTATGTTCGCGGTTGTGCGTGTGTGTGATTTGTAAAAATTGTCGAATCTCCGACGAACCTGATGGCGAGCGACGGTAGCTCTTCTCCCAAAAATCCTAAAAAGGCGATCCTGATGGATCCAAATTCCATTAAGCATATTCTCGATGAATCCGTTACTGAGATCCAAAGTCCATTAAGGCATGAGGATGAGCAATATCAAATTGTTCATGAGAATCACCATCATCATCACCGTCATCATCATCATTGCTATTGTTGTTCAGTTCTACCCGAAGAAACTTCCCAAGAAAAAAGATGTTCTCATTGGATGCATTACATTGTATATTGCCTTCATTGGCTGGCACTTCAATTTCTTATACCGTGTTCAGACTTAAAATGCACTTTCTGACTATCTAGTCTCCACTGTGATAGATCGATCAGGATTCCGTTCGTTCCACAATCAATTCTATAAGATATTTTGACATATTAGTCCCCCCTCCCTCTCTTTGACTAATCTCCACCATTATTTTTCACATTAAGTGAAGATAAAAAAACGGCTAATCTCTACCATTATTTTTCAGATTAGGTGAAGATAAAAAACTGGACAAATTATAAATAATTACAGAAGAAGATGGAATTGCTTTTGCAGGATGACTTCGAAGAAATATAACTGCACGAGAATGGGTTTACCGTTTTCAATTAAACAAACAAACAACTTTTCTTTCCATAGCATTCTGATTCTTCTGAACCAGTAACTGTTGTGCCAAAGTCAAGCTTCTACCCGGCGTTTCCCTGTATAAAGAATTCCTATGTTTGTGCTTGCATTTCCGTTAACAGCAAATTTATTCAAATGTTGCAGTTAATTTATTGGAATATTACATTTTGAAAATTTAAAAAAGAATGATAGGTAAAATAGTCTTTTGTTAATAATAGGAGCAGAATTAGTCAATTTACTAAACCATAGGATTACTTTAAGAAATTTTCTCTAAAATAAATAAATAAAACGATCCCCGCTTTCTATTATATTGAGTTTTAGCCAAAGCGGTGTTAATTAACGAGCTGTGCAAAAGAGGATTTGGATTTTGGTTTTGATTGAAGCCTAAAGCTAGCACCCGTTGCTTGGTTTTGTCACCACTCTGCATATGATTCCATTGGATAGAAAAAAAAAAGGAAGAAGAAGAATAAACCCCCCACCCCTCTCGGATAAAAAATTCCAACCATTTGTTATTTGAAGCTATATAAATTTCAAGTTCTACTTTAAATGATAAATTACTCATTTGTTTATGAGTGCTCGGTTTTTTTATTGTCTTGCCTTAGTTGGCTTATGAGTGCTCTGTTTTTTTTATTGTCTTGCCTTAGCTGGCTTATGAGTGCTCTGTTTTTTATTGTCTTGCTTTAGTTGGTTGTTCTTCACCTTTTCAACTTTTAGATGGTAATCTTATTTTCTTTTCTTGTTTGGTTATTTTGGGATCACATATGGTTAGTCTCATGGAATTTCTCTTCTGTTTTCTTCCTTTTGCCTATATTTTTTCTCGTGAACTTAATCTTGCTAGTTTAGTCCAAATTTTCCTTGTAACCTCATTCATTGATTAAGGGTAATTTAAGTGCATCAGCTGTCAATCTATTCTCTATAAAGAGCAAGAGCTTTAGATGATAGATTGATTGCTTTAACATCATCTAGCTGACATAATTTTTTATGGTGTTACTAGCGGAAACCCTTTGCAACTGAAGTGTCCGCATAGCCGCCCTGAGCCACTTCATGTCCAAATCGGCAGACCGCAGACTTCAGGTCGCTTCTTTGCAACTGAAGCTGGTCAAACGCAGCTTTGAAGAGGATGTTGGCCGAGCTGCCCGAGTCAACGAGTACGCGCCTGACCTCGAAGTCGTTGATTCTCAGCTTTATTACGAGTGTGTCATCGTGGGGGTAGTGGACCCCTCGCGCATCATCTTCTGTGAAGAAAATTGGCTCTTCTGTCCTCGGCCACTTTGGAGGATTCTGCTCTTCCCGGGTGGCCTCACGAACTGACGTTCGAGTTGCTGCTAAAGTACAACCCGCTACGATCGAACCTCCCACTATCATGTGGATGGTCACCCGAACCAGCCTCTCTTCCGGAGGCTGCCTCTGTGGCTGTTCGGCCGGCCTACTGCTGGACTCGGGAGCATCCTTACCGTGCTCCCCTTGCCGACCTGCTTTATTATTAATATTATTATTTTGTATAAAGTTCCTTAAATATCCGCGATGGATGAGCTTCTCTATCTCGTCGCGGAGGTTTTTACAAATCTCGGTACTGTGACCGTGATCTCTGTGCAAACTACAGTACAGATTCTTATTTCTCTCATTGGGATTTCCCCTCAAACGGGGTGGCCACTTCACATACGGGGCATCCTTGATCGCCATCAGGATTTCGGCCCGCTTCGCGTTCAATGGGGCGTAATCAGTTCGGTCCGCTACAGGAGCTCGGAACGACTGACCCGGCTTTGCCCCCCGAGCTGCATCCTTTTTCTTTCGGATGTCTCCTTGATTGGAAGGCTCTCCTTCCCCCTTCCTCTTTTCGGGCGTGCCCTCGCCCTTCTGGTTGATTTCCTCTTCGGTGGCTATGAATCTGTCCGCGAGCTTAAGAAATTCGGTTATGGTCGTTGGTTGGTTGACGACCATGTGCCATTTGAACTCTTTATGCGTCACGCCTTTCTTGGTTGCTACGAGGCGCACGACGGGGTCCAGGCGCGGTATCTGCATGCACGCATCGTTGAACCGTTTGATATAACTTCGGATGGGTTCTCCCTCTCTCTACATTATGCTGAGGAGACTCTCTTCAGTTCGCAGACACCGCTTGCTGGTGACGAAGTGGGACGTGAAGGTTTGCGCAAACTGCGCCCAACTTTTTACCGATCCAGGTGCCAAGTTCCGATACCATGTACGGGCTTCTCCTCTAAAAGTGGTGGAGAAGGCCACACACATGCACGACTCGCTGGCTCTTGCCAGGTGCATCTGCGATTGGAAGGCATCTTCGTGATCATTTGGGTCGAACGACCCGTCGTACTTGTCAAGAGAGGGGAGCTTAAAGTCTTTAGGCATTGGGACTGCCAGGAGCTCGGGAGATAGGGGAAATTGAACTGAAAGGATGGGAGCCTTGACTTCGCCCGAGCTTACTTCTTCTTTGCCTCCAAGCTCGGACAGGTCGTGGGTGGCAGACTGGCGAGCTCGGCGGTGGCATCTCTGTTTCTTGGCGGGCTCGGCGTTTGTACTGCTCACCTCTATGCTGTCCGGGATGGTGTGTGCAGGAAGTAGCTCAGGCCGCTAGTGATGACTGCGGACAGAGGGATCCTGCTTAGAGCCTGCGACCAGAATCTCGAACCGGTTCTCTAAGAACGGGGTATCGGGCTTGGAGGGTTGAGACGATGTGGACTTGGCGAGCTGGGGTCCTTCCGGCCTGACCGCCCGTGGCGAGGCCAGAGTGGCCGGTCTTTCCTTGGCGAGAAAGGTGTTCATCTTGACGATGGGACCTAGCCCGCTGTGAGGCTGGGTGCCGAGGAGGGAGCTGCAATTGCTGAAGCTGGGGTTGTGGCAGCTGGGGAAATTGCTGCTGATACTGGTACTGAGAGACCTGGTGTAGCACGTGTTGTTGATAGATCTGAAACTGTTGCATTTGAGCCTGCATGGCCCACATGCACTGCACCAAATCTTCTAGCTGGTTCGGGCTGGCCGCTGGGGGAACAACCGAGGGTTCAGTGATGGTTGTTCCGGCTGTGGTAGGTAGTGCAGCAACGACGGGTGCCCTGCAAGAGGCACGTTCAAACTAGGGATCCCGTCCGCTGAGAGGGGGACGGTGAACTGTCCGATGCAGACAGTAGGAAGCTGGGGTTGTTCCCTAGAGTTATCCATATCCATGCTTTGTCCGATGTTGCTAGAGGAAGCCATGAGTATTGAGTTTTTGAAGAGTAAAGAGATGTGAAAGTTTAGAGAAAGGCTTTTCGAAGCGTTTCCCACAGACGGCGCCAAACGATGTAGCGCGATCCGGTCACTCCTAGCTGTCACTCACTTGGCTCCTGGAAGGTACCTGAGATGAAGAAGAAGAAGAATCCCCGGGGAGTTTACCCGGTGGGGATACTCCGATGCTTAAGTTAGTACTCTGTAGGAGAAGCAAAAAGGAGACGAAGGCTAAGAGTGCATATAGCGTGTTCTCACTATACTCGAGAGATTAGAGGTCTCAAGAAGAAGTTTCTNTTGAAATTGTTGCATTTGAGGCTGCATGGCCCGCATGCACTGCACCAAGTCTTCCAACTGATTCGGGCTGGCCGCAGGGGGCACAACCGAGGGTTCAGTGAAGGTTATTCCGACTACGGTAGGGAGTGGAGCAACAACGGGTGCCGTTGCAAGAGGCACATCCAAACTAGGGATCCCGTCTGCTGAGAGGGGGACGGTGAACTGTTCGATACAGACAGTAGGAAGTTGGGGTTGTTCCCTGGAGTTATTCATCTTCGTGCTTCATCCGATATTGCTTGAGGACACCATGAACGTTGAGTTTTTGGAGAGTAAAAAGATGTGAAAGTTTAGAGAAAGGCTTTTCGAAGCGTATCCCATAGACGGCACCAAATGATGTAGCGCGATCCGGTCACTCCTAGTTGGCACTCACGTGGCTCCTGGAAGGTACATGAGATGAGAAAGAAGAAGAATCCCCAGGGAGTCTACCCGGTGGGGATACTCCGATGCTTAATTTAGTACTCTGGAGGAGAAGCAAAAGGAGACGAAGTCCTAGAGTGCAGATAGCGCGTTCTCACTATATTCAAGAGATTAGAGGTTTCAAGAAGTCGTTTCTCTCCTGCCCTGAGGACTTTTATTGGGACCCTCGCGTCAGATCGAGCAAAACCGCCACTGGGCTTCTGCTACAGCCATTACCTGTTAGGGCTGCGCAGGTGGCCGTTGTGGCGTATGTCTCGCCCCGGTGAGTGACACATTTTCGAAGTGACAGGCACGCCCTTACCTGCTGTGAGACGTGGACGCAGACTACCGAAAGGACTGGGACTGCGTCGTCAGTAAGGGATATGGCGCAGTCTGACCGGTACGGTCAGTCAGTCAGAAGCTTCCTGAGGGGCGCTCATGCGGCTCATTCGCGAGCTATTTTGTAGCGAGCTTGGAACACTCCAGGATTATCCTTAGTAGAATTGGTCCTTGGGATGACTTGTCTACTTGGGAGCTCGGACGAGCTAATAACTTTAGCTCGCGAG